TTCAGTAACTGGGTAAAGTTTTTCTTTATTGAAAAACAATGTGTTTCTTCTTTTTCGATTATAAAAAGTGGAAAACTTTCTGTTTCTCTTCTGACTTGGCTGCCGGGAAGCTCAGGACTGAACTAAAGGGTCCACTCACAATAAATGCTTTTCTGTTCATATTTAAGCATATTCTCTCCATCTTTTCATGGCCTTTTAGTTCATGGTTGTTTATTTCCTTTTAATTATTCCAATGTATCTAAATTCTATATACACGAAAAGAAGCAGAGAGTTCATTAATTTTAACAAGAAAGTCATCTCCAAACCATTTATTGTGCACCCACTCTGTTACAGGCATTATTGTACAGGAGGGGAATATATTAATTAAAATAACATTTTCATGAGAGAAGTGAATATATTTCACAGTGCCCTTAACAGAGGGGAAAAATCTGCCAATCAAACCAACTTCAAAAAAAAAATGGAAATTTAAAAGAATTTCCTTAAAAGAAAAGCCTGACAGTATCAATTCAACCCCCACTAAGAGTTAATTCAGTGAGTGTTATCTTCTGACTGTTGCTTACTTGGGTATGGAAAACCGGTTACTTGCTATATGACCCTCATCTCAAGGGTCCTGCAACAAAATCAGCCTTCATCCTTGAGCATGTGCTAAGCACTCATAACACCTAGAATAAAATCTTTTAAATTGCCCCTTAAAAACAGAGATCAATTTAAACACACTAACTTCCGGGAAAGGGAGCTTTGGGTCTTAGATTTCCTACCTTGGAGCCTCTGATGTAACAAATAAGTAGCACCTACAGGGGTAAGCCAAGAAATATGACGCATTTTGTGTGGCTGACCAGGCAAGAAAAATTAACTGGTAAAGCAGCTTCCATTTAGAGATAACTTCAAGGTAGGTGGGCCTAAATTTGCACTTGCTTTCAGCTTTGTTTTGCTTTACTGGCTTGCAAATATGTGTCACACAGTGACCCCAGGTTGGCCTGCCTGTTGCCAGCCTGATGTTGGGAAGGGTACTGAAATTTACAAGGATCTTGCCCTTGGCCTCCACTCCCAGGGCACGGCATTCTCACACATTGTAAGGCATTTTACCGGCTGACAATAGCTCTGTAGTCAGGGAAGGCAGCCTACAAGACTGCCCACAGATCACACGTGCTTGTCACCTGCCCTAGCATTTGCAAATAGACTAGCACTTCTCAGGGCAACCTGTTTGTCCTTCCTTTGGCAGAGAAAACAGTGTAAATAATTATAACATTTCAGATGGGGCAAAATATTGTACTTCTCAATTTGAACTGTGTGCACTTTGGCTTCTCAGACTAACATAAAGGTCTTTAAGAGAGCTGCCTTTATTTCACTGAGAAAATAAGTTAAAGTATTTTTTAAAGTGGTGCATGCCTTGGTGAATTTCTGAGCCAAATACTGGAGTGGCTGACGTTTTTTAAGTAATTGTAAGCAGCATCTCAAAGGATTCAGAGAAGCTACAAGTAAAATGTGACAACTGATCTTGAAAAATCAAAAAGCTTTTAATGAAGAAAAATAGCAGACCAAGAAGAATTAAAAAAAAAAAAAAAAAATCCCTGGTTCGTTCGTTCCAAAAATGCTGCAAGGGAAATTTCTAAAGTACAGCAAAGCAATCACTTCATTAGTTTGTGCAACAAAACTCAAATTTTGTGGGATAAAATAAGACTTGGTCAAGATCGCCAAACTTACGGTTACAGATATAAAAACTAACTTTATATTAAACGGGTGGGGGGAGAATCGGGGAAGAGGATAAGGGCCATTGAATGTAGTATTTCCAGATCTCTGCATTCAACATCTCACGCTCACGCCAGTAATTGTGTTAAATCACATAAATACAAAACACGGGCGAGATGACCAATTTCGGGAAGGCGACTGAGTCTCCCCTCCTCCATTCCCTTTAGAACTGTCGTCCTGGGGTTTTCTTTCCTAATGGCATTTCGTTTTTAGGAAAGCCCCTCGTATCTTTCGGTCTAATTATCTCATTGTACAAATCTTTCAAAGAGAAAGAAAGGAAAGAACTGCAGTTTGCTCCGTGCGCAGACATCTTTTCTCCTGCTCTGGCTCTTTCTAAGCCTTCAACCAACTTTCGCTGAAAAGGATGTCGCAGAGGGGCGATGAGGCTTGAAATCCCGCCGTTCTCTCATTCTCTTTTTTTCTCTCCACACACGCCACCCCTACACCTCCCTGCCCCACCCCCACCTCCAATCCAGGGCTGTTTTTAGTGTGCTGGGGCACTTTAAAGAGTTTCCTCCTTCTATTTCCCCCCTCTTACTCGAGACGCACTTTCAGTTGAAGACAGACAAGGCGCCTAACCAGGAGAAAAGCAAACGGAATATTTGGGGGGAATAAAAGACCTAATTGAAAAATCTGCTGCCTAATTGCGATTAAGCATGTTAAAAAGAAATGAGCATATTATTTTGATAGTATTCAAAACGCTGAGGTTTTTGCCCGATGCGTTCTTCCTTATTAACGGACATATACACTCATTATGTATGAGGCACTGTTCTAAACGCTTTTAAAATATGACCCTCTTTGCTTAAAAAATGTTTAACCCACATTAAATCCATGTGTGCTTTCACGTCCCTGCCATATTTTTTTTATAACATTGTACAGCGGTTACATCTTCAAAGACAAATATGGAAAAACTAACCATTGCTACTTTATTGCAAGCAAGTCATTTCCGTTTTTGCAATTTTTCGCAATTATAACTAAATTCACTAGTATAGTGAGAGAGAACTCTTGTGTGTGTGTGTTTTTTTTCAAGGATGAGCTCAGGTTTTGCTTCGGGCGTTTGGGAGCGCCCGCTAATTTGCTCGCGTGGCAAACGTTAATTGCACCTGTAGACATTCCTTTCAGAAAACCCTGCAGCCGTCACTGACAGTGGTGAAGGTCGAGCTTGCGCCCGGCGGGCCGCGGCGCATTTACCTGTGGCCTGGGCGGACTGGCCACCTACGCTTGGGCCGGAGAGACGGGGCAGGCGACCGGCGCGCGTCTGGCTCACCATCAGCTATATGGCGGGGACCCGGAGCGGGGGCGGCGTCGCGGTGCGGCCCAGCTCTGCTCCGCGCAGCGCGCTCAGGCCACGGGCGCTGCAGTCGGGCAGAGGCCCGGACCCCGTGAACGCCGGCCACCCAATCTGAGGCCGACAGCCAAGCTGGGGGGTGGGGGTGACCACGCCACCGCCCGCACACCCCCCGGCCGTCCGGCGCTGACCCGGTGCAGCCCCGCCAGGCCCCGCCCGACCCCGCCGACTGTGTGATTTGCCTGGGGTTAAGTTTCAGAAGTCAGGATGGAACGTTTCGGGTTTCTGTTCGCACGGTTATTGAAGGCACCGAGGTGGAGACCGCACTAAAGACACGAGGGCGTGTAGGGAAAAGGTTTTGTGTTTTAATGAGGGCTTATCACGCGGGCTGCAGTCCTCTCCTCCGGCCCAAGCCCCGCCCGGGTCCCGTCTTTTCACGTCGCATCCTTTCCTCTTCTGCCCTCCCCGCGCCGGTCATATGTGGGGTGTCAAAGGGAATGGGGTGTCACAAGGAAGCCCTAGGCACATCCCCTCAAAGATATGAATCCGTCCGTGGCGCAGGGTTGTGTTTGCTAGACGACCCTTTCTCAGAGGCTTTTCTCCAACGTGTGGAGTCTCCGGCTGGAACCCAACCAACCCGCCGCCCGGGACCACCGCGCCCGGGCGCGGGAATTGACTCCTGCTCGGTCTTGCTCAGTTCCCGCCCTCGCAGAGGCACGTCGGCGTAGCCGATTCAAAAATCCCACAGAATGTGGAGAGAAAGAGCAGCTTGAAAACGCTTTGAAAGCACAGCTAGAGTTTTAACAACCCACGTTGTCCGATGCACTAAGTACTGTCGAACACGAAGTCGTACTTTACAAATTGTTTCCAAGCGCGAATCGTCAAGTCCCGGGCTCTAATTAACTCTACGGCTGCTACTACACACGCCAAGGGGGGTTACAGGGAGAATTCTGGCAATCACCTGTAAAACCCAAGCTCGAAAATTTGAAAACGACTAAAATCGTGTCCTGAAATACCCGCGTCACTGCTCTAGTTCTTCCTAGCATCAGGGCAGACACCACTCCGGCGCACGGTCTACTCAGTCCCTGTGGCCGAAGACCACATGGAAATAACCGAGCTCTAGCAGAATCGGAAACCGTACGGTGCCGACCTCTCAGACCCTCCGACCGCCAGCGGCTGAGTACCTGGTCGGGGAAACGCACGTCCTTATGTGTCCACAGCCCAGAGGCCGCGGAAGTAGCCTCGGGAGTTGTCAGGAAAAAAACCAACTTTGATTTAAGGTTTTCGAAAGCCCCAGAGGGCAAATGTGACCGCGCGGGTCGGCCAGTCAGCAGTTTTGGTCCAGACAAGGGACAGCAGGGTGGGGCGGTTCGGCTAAGCCGCGGCGCCTCCCGACGTCACACACGCTCGCTCACACTCAGACACGCGCTTGGCGTTATTCCTTAAACACAGGACTCAAACTTCACCCGCAAGACCGCCGAGCGCGGACGAGGGCCGAGACCCGAGGACCGGAGCCCGCCCCCGCCGCGGCCGCGCGTGTCCCCCGGGGAGAGAGCAAGCCGACGCTCCCGCTCGCCGCGTCCCCCCCTCCGCCTGCGCGCGGCTTCGCGAATGCA